ATTGTGATGAGAATATGGGCTGAGTAAGGTTTGTGTGAAGCTGCAACGATGACTCTTTTAGTCTGAGCAATGTTTGTTAGGCTGCTATGATGACCATATTGGTCTGAGCAAGGTTTGTATGAGGCTGCTATGATGCCAATGTGAGTCTGAGCAGTGTTTGTTAGGCTGTTGTGATGACCATATTGACCTGAAAATCATTTGTAAAAGGTTGTTATGGTGACTATATTAATCTGAGCGTTGTGAACATTGTTAGTGTGAGGCTGCTATGATAAGTAATCTGTGAGACTACTATGATAACCATTGGGTCTGAGAAGGGTTTTTCTATGTTATAATGATGAATTCCTTTCTAAGTAGCTTCAAATTTTATATAGGCCTCTACACAATCACAACAATTATATTGGCCTCTACAAAATGACAAAAATATATGCCTTTACAAAATGACAAAATCTAGGCCTCTCCTACATATAGGGATAGCTACTCCTACGAGTCTATTGGTTTAACCTGTACACTATTAAGCAAATTTACTCTTAAGGCCTGTACAAAAATGACAAAAAGGCCTATACACCAAAACCCAAACCCATTTTTCATCGTAATGCAGTTTTTCCTACTCTTCAATTATGAACCGCCCCTCGGTTTCCTCTTGTACGTCGGTATAAGAGGTTGGATGTTGGTATAAGAAGCCTCTTATGGCTTCTACTAATCCAACATCTATCTCAATAGCTATGGGCAACCTCCATTCTGTGATCATTCTATCCTTTCCGTAATGTGGTAGCTTGTAATTGTTTCACCTTTCCAATTTCATTACTTCTACCATCACATATTGATAGCTTAACCACACTTTGTTCAAAGTGATGGGTGATTGATGGAAGAAAGCATCATTAACTGCATGTAAAAGTTCATTAAAACAATTTGGGTGCATTTTGATCTTTCAATGACTATATTGCCCTGAAGAATTCAAGGTCTAGTATGTTAAGATCTGGGGAATCGGGGGTTGGTTAGTTAGGCTTATATTGAATTCATTTTCTTGGGATGCAGCCATGTAATATGCACCTAAGCCTAAAATGTGTGGCCTTGCATTATCCTATTGGATTATAATGTCCTTAGTTAAGTATTCCTTCCACTTTGCCCTAATTGATGGCAACACAGTGATGATTAACATCTCTTTGAACACTTCCTTTGTGATGCTAACTATAAGCTTTGTTTTCATCACCCCCTGCATCTCTATTTTTGTTTCTTCTTTTAGCTATTACCTTTTAAATGAATAAGAACATGCCTATTTTACCATCCAAGAGTGCTTCCCCACTGTCTGAAAACAGAGGTCCGCCCATTACATAGGGACATACCTTACTTATGAACCTCTTTGACTTGCACACCCTATGAGGATCCTGCTCTTCCGAATCGATGTAGAACCTTTGTGAAGTTCTAGACATGAAAACCATTTTTCATCAATTTGTATCACATTTTGATAGATTACATTTTAAAAATTATGAAATGTTGGCTTACATGGATTTGATTTGCCAACTTGCTTATAACAGAACTGTAGTCTTGCCAGTCTATTTGCATCTGTTGAGAAAGGCTTAATAGCATTTATATGACTTCTAAGCATACTTTTTAACACATATGTGCAAAGTTGTCCTTGGAATGGAACTGACGGCAGCTAGTGTCCTTGGATATTAGTCCTTCTATACAGTGGGATTTCAGAAATGGAGCTTAGATCCACTTCAATCATTTTCCTGCTTGAATTTCCATCCCACCCGCTTCTTACATCCACCCTCCCTTTTCTTGAGTTATTTTTTACTGTGGCCCATATGCTAAAAATAGATGTTTAGTGAAAACAACTTTATGAGCTATCAACTCCCCAAACATGTCTCTTTTTGAACTTAGTAGGATTTCATCCAATATACTCTCCCTTTCCATATTAGGCTGTTGCTGCCTTCTTCTTATGGTTGACCCTCATTTATTGTTGTTTGTAGGTTGGTTGGTGAAGATGAAGAAAGAGAAGCATTAATGGAAGACGAAATTGACTGTACATTTATGGAAGCTGCCATCTCCGGAGGATGATCTTCAGCCCTCGTTAATTGTGTGTGAGTGTGCAGTGTTGTAATGTGAGAGTGAATAGGAAAATGAGTGTATTTGTAGTTGTCAAAACTAGAAACTCCCTCCAAAAATAAGAGGGAAGGTGCAGTTCAAACCAATTTGGAGTTTTTTGTACTAATCACTTTTGATCACATCTATCCATCCAACTATCTTTTTTAATATGTTTTGTAGTAATTTTTGTTTTACCTCCTCCCCTTTTTCGGCCAAAGCACCAAAGATGTTATTTAAAAAAAAGAAATAAGCTTAAATTGATAACACATCATTCAGATAATGGGTAAAAAGACCTCTGGCAACCGCCGACCCTCGAACCCGACTCAGAGTTTTGTCACCTCTAACGAAGCAATATAACTCGTTGATCCATTAATGGGCGCAAATGAGCCAAAGACGGTAAACACAGACCTTTCGTCACCCACATCCAAATTCATAGTCTTACAATGAAGTAAAACGCACTACCGAAAGTAAATAGTAAATTTCAGACAATTAAAAAATAGAAAAGCGAAAAAGTAAAACTATTGCCCCATCGCCCAAATATACTCCGACGTCGGTTCAGGACGGGGACGGACCAACAGTACTGTAGCTTCTTCCTCACTCTGCCTCTTATTCATCATGTTCTCTGTCAAGCCTCCACTTTCACCATTAATCACAGATGATCTTGAATCCAGAACTGTTCCAGCTTTTAACCCCAAGCTTCGCTCATGACCTTCACTCGATGATGTCATCCTCTCACTATTGTTGTCTTTGTTTCTTGTTCGCACCAAGAAACTCGTCGTAAGGGAAAACCCCAAATCAAAGAACCACCCAATCTATCAGATCAGTGGAAGAACTAAAACCCTAACTAGAGGGACAAACAGCCGCGCACTTGAATGAAAAATTAGTAAATCATAAAGTTTGAATACTGAAGTACTTTGCTGGCTAGTGCGGCTGGACTATGCCGAAGGGACTTCAGACTAGCTAGGCGCCGAAGGGAACGAAGCTTTGCAGGAGGGGCAACTCCCTAATGCACGACATAGTGTTATTATTATGATTTTTAGTTGATCAGCGCCAATAGTGTTATTGGAAAGTCAAAGACATTTTACACTTGCATTAAAAAGCGATCCGAGTCAAATCAGGAAATATTTTTTAGAACGAGGAGAGTAGTATTTAATTAAAATTTTGAAAAACAAATATTACAATTACGTATATTTTGGGTGAGCCAACATATTTGTTGCGCAAATTATATCCTACAACCGGCACACCATGAGGACGGTGTGTCGGGTCCTAAAAAAAAAAAACAGAGCATCGATCATCTTCCGCCGCGGCAAAGCAGAGCAACGGTAAATTATACCGTACACTCAGTTGTACGGTGCTCACCGTACAACCGGATAGTTTTACAATTAGTTGCAACTCCAATTGATAAAGATTAGGGATTATGCTCTTCTCTGTTTGTTGCTCGTTGCGGTCTTCAGAGTCGATGAAGGAGGCGCCGACGAATTCTGTTGCTTGCTGAATTCCCGAAGGTTGGTGAAGAAGGTGTCGCTTGCTGGATTCCTGGGGATTGGTGAAGGACGTCCACTCCTGGGAGTTGGATAAAGAAGAATGGTGCACGTTGTGTCCTCGTTCTCAATTCGTATGAGGACAAATTCCAATTTCCAACTTTGTATTTTATTATTATATTTTAATTAATATTATATTTCAATATTGTGTGTTAATATTTAAATATTACCATAAATTTATGTTATATTGAAAATGAGCATACACAAATGAAAATTTGAGCATACTATATATTTAAATGAGCCTTTTGTTTTTTTACGTTGCTCATTTCGTAAGCCTTTTTTTTTTACACAATGGGTCACCCGATTTTATAAGAAATATGAAAATACAGGAATACACAATACGAAAAGCCAAAAATGCATAAGAGAAATACAAAAGTGATGTTGCTAAAAATAAAATGCTGAAGATCTGTTGTCGCTTGCTTGGTTTCCGCCTAAATATACATGCTCATTTCGTAAGCTACGTATACTTATTTGATATTGGTGTAATGTTCATTTTAAAATGTCATATTCATTCATACTTTAAAAGTACAATTCAATATTAGATTATATTCACATATTGGACTTATATGGATTCATTGAAGGTATTTTAAAAAATTAGAAAAAGAAAGTGAACTAAAACTACTATATTACATTAGATTCCCATGAGATCAAGTTGATTATAGACACAAGAGTAGAAATTATGATACTCAAATACTCAATTACATACTTTTAATGCTCAATAGAAAAAGTTTGATGCTCACTGAAAATGTCTTGATGATCAACTAACAAAACTTATTATTTTCATATCATTGCTCATTTTAAAAGTTATTTATGCTCATTAAGTACTGATGATATGCTCATTTTAAAATGGCATATCAATGTTTATTTTAAAATTATCATGGTACATTAGATCCGCATATTAAATAAACTTTATAGGAATTGATTATAGAAATTAAATTACAATATATGAAATTGATATCACAATATTCATTAGAAATGTAATGCTCATCTAACGAAAACCCCATTTTTCACTGAAATTACGAAAATGACACCGTTTTTTAGTTGTGATATCAGCTTTCTTGTAATAACACAATGCTCATTATTGGACGTTTAATACTCATTAAAATTGGATTATTGCTCATTAAAAGTACACCAATGCTCATTTAGCAGAAACCGCAATTTTAACATTAATTATAAAAATGACACCAAATTAATTTGTTATTTTCCTATGGGCCTGTTACTGGGTCGACCATGGTGCTCACCGTACAACGGTTGTATGATACTCACTTGTTACACCCTATTGGTACATGTGGCGGTGCTCCTAACCTTTTGATTAAATAAAGAAATACTCCGTACTGCGTGTGAAAATTCTGATACAAGTCCCAACTCCCAAGTTGGCCAAATCGTCACCACTTACACCGGTCACAACGCCCACACTGCCTTGTCCAACAGGCTTAAACAGAGGCCAGGCTTCTCTTCCTCACTCTTCTCAACCGCCGACGAAAAGTCGCTACCTTTGCCGCCGCGGCCGTATCCCGCCCTCCCATAAACCCTAGCGGTTCTATCCATTCGGGAATAAAAGAATAAGATTATGCAAGTCTCATCAGTTATATTCAATACTAAGCCAGTATTGGCTCCTATCCAAGCCAAGTCGCTTCACAGTGATCCATCTTCACCACCATGCTGCTCGTCGAATCGAATTCTTTCTACTCGTCTCGATTGGGTTCGGACGAGGAGGAGTATGGCTCTAAGTTCGGGTCGGCATCCGCAGCTTCGAGCTTATCTCCTTACCGAAAAGGTAGTATCAGTTCAATTCTTATGTGTATGTATAGCTGTGGCATTTTTTTTTTTTAAAACTGGATTTAATTTGTGCAGTAAGATTTTCGTCCCTATGTCTGCATTTACGACACAGTAAACAAACAAAATGCTGTTTTCTTCTTACTGGGGATGCTATCTCAGGCTCTCAGCATTTTGTGGGTTTATTGTATCATTTGTCTAGCGATAATGTTCTATGATATTTTAATAACAATTGTGTTGTTAAGAGTTTGGCAGGCTGGTAATTTGCCAAATTATGAATTATGTTGGACAGAGAGTAAAGATGTCAGTGGCAATAGAAGAATGCATCTTCCAAGTTTAAACCTTGTTTAACCCTCCTAGCTCTATAGGCTGCTTTGAAATTTGTGTCATTAAGAGCCCTTTTGGTAGAAAATAGTATTAGCTTCCTGGCCTTATATATCACTAAACACAAACTATCGTTACTCTTGTGGTGTATTAAAAAACTAAGAATTGTTATTGCGTCAACTCAATTGACTGATAATGAATAAAAGTAGTTCAGGGATTATTTTTTGGCAGGCTGAAATAGATGAACTTAATACCTTTAGCTCTACTTATAGATATTAATTGATTCACATTTAATAAATACATATTCTTAAAGATTTAATTAGATAATTTAGCAGATTTGTCCAAATCAGCCATTTCAGCAACAACTTCAGCAATTTAGGTACATTCAGCCACTTTTTCTATTTTGAGCCTTACCACACAGGCTTCAAGTCTTTAAACGAGCGCACAGACATGCTTGTATTGCTGAATGAACTTACTTTTGTGACCTCCTTCAGTAAATTCCGCCACTTTAGATTTTCTAGTCATACCAAACAGGTTTAAGGTTTAAATGAGTGAAAATGCATGCTTTTATGGGTTTACTGTGGCTTCTGTCACCTCTCTCTCTTAATAATTTTTCTCCTCAACTGCAGAATCCAGTGAGAAGATATCTATCTCAATTTGAGGAACTGCCATCAAAAGAAAGTTGTCTGAGTAGATGTTGTCATGTATCACGTTTCCCTTATCTGCAAAGAAAGCATAGTGTTGCTAACAGATTGGCAACTAGAGCTTTTCATGATACATCCACCTGTCATTTGTCAAAATTGAAGGCTAATATTGTAGCTGTAAGTAATCTGCTTGTGAGTTTAAATTGAAGGTCAAACCCTTATGACATCCACCATCTTAGGTATACTTAGGATGACTTGCACATAAATGTAATGCAGAGTATTTTTTAGTGAAATGTATGGCTTGAGTAATGATTTGTTGTACAAGAAATTTACCCCCCAATATATGTCCCATTATCCAAGGCATATATGCATATGATATATTTTGCTATATAACTATAAATATTAAACCTTACTCGTTTCAAAAAACAAATAACAATCTTCTATAAATGTGTTTTCAGTTATTTTATTTTTTATATTCTTCGTCTCTACCTATTGGTACAAGTATCTTTACTGTCTTTCTCTTTTAGCCTTTATTCTGCACTTAATATATAATAAAAATAAAATAACTATAAAGAAAGTTTGAGAGAGCAACTGTGTTATTTCAGCACTTCCAAGAGTGGAACTATCTTGTAGACTAATAAATGTACTTACAGTTAAAACAATCCCGTGTGCTATGTGCATCCGCTGGTCCAGATGAGCCACATGCAACAAGCACAACCTGGCTAGATGGTGTGCTAGAAAAACAGGCTCTGGAACCGTTGGATCCTGAGTTGGAAAGAGCAGAGTTGTATCGCTTTTTTAGTTCTGAACTTCCATCTCATCCAAAATTGTATCGGGGACAACTGGGCAATGGACTTCGTTACCTTATTCTACCTAATAAGGTTCCTCCAAACAGGTATTATCTTATTCGTGGATGAGACTTTTAACAAATAGTTTTCATTTTTGCTAGTTTTAGTGTGCACATGTTTATGCTAGCTGGATATATGGAACGGAAGGCTCTTACGGCCTGTTTGGATGAAGTGTTTGGAAGAGTTAGCAATGGAAGTGTTAGAAGGTGTAGGGATGGTAAAAGATGGGAAGGTAAGTGTAGGTGTAAAATATAAACTTACCTTGTTTGGGAGAGTAAAAAGAATAAAGTGTTATTAAAGAAAGTTTTTTGATTAAGTTGACATAATTAACCTTAAACTTTATTCGTGCACATATATAAATTGTATATGTATAAAAAGGTTATATATGTGGAAATCCAGATTATCCAATACATGTTACGAAAATAAAAAAGGTTATCCATGTTATTAGTAACAAGTACTCCTATTAAAGAAGACCCATTTTTTCCTGGTTACACAAATCTATACGCGCGGATAGATGGTATATACATATATATAGTTCATATATATTTATAATATACAACAAGAAATCAGTGAAGAATATATGCATACGTATTCATCAGATTAAAAAGAGAAACACTAACACCGGCATAAACCCTTCATCCCAATCAGTCCTCCCGTCATCATTGATGGGCCCCTTATCCCCGACTCTATGCCTGAGAGATGGCCGACGGTGATAGAGGTATCGAGCGTGTTGAAGAAATTGAAAACCACGTTTGGGAAAGGTGGATTCCGATCTATCACTGTATATATTCGGCCTTCATTGAAGAAATCCAATAAAAGAAGATGGGATAAGATTAACTCAAGAGAAGAATTGTAAGGAGAACTAGATTGTAGGGAGGGGATGATGTGGGGATATAATGAAGGGGAAGAATGGTCAACACTTCAATACACCCCAGTTTGGGGTGTTAAAAATGCTACGTATTGAGGTGTTGGAAAGGTATACCTTAACACTCCAATATTTTTTTATTTTCTCTCCCAAACAAGTGTTAAGGCTAACACCCCTTAACACTTCCATTACTAACACTTCTTGACCCTCAATCCAAACAGGCCGTTAAACACTGGAAGAATAGTTCATTACTTCGGGAAGTTGTGTTAGCAAAAAATGCCCCGGAATAATTTTCATTTATGAATTAAATTCATATTTTGAATAAATCACCCATATTTACCCATACTAACTCTTCTATATTAAATGCATATGTGATTTGAAAAAAACAAGGTCATTAATGTGAAACATCTGAACTTTTTAGGTATAGAGGTGCTTTTGCAATGGATTTTAATATGTGTACACTTATCTAAAATTTCAATTAGTTGGATCTGCTTGCATCAGTAGATGATTTTGTGTATTTCTGTTGGATCCATCCTTCTCTCCATCAGTAGCCATCTGCTTGCATAGCGGCTGGTCGATCCATCCTTATCATCTTTCATCTGTTTTTTTTAATACATCATGCATTAACCATATTCTGTAGTTGATTTTATCGATGCACTACATCACAACTATTTATAAACTTTCCGGCTAAAGATGATAAGGTATTAGTCTCTTCTTTTATTGTAATTTTCACAGATTTGAGGCACACATGGAAGTTCATGTGGGATCCATTGACGAGGAAGATGATGAACAAGGAATTGCACACATGATTGAACATGTTGCATTTCTTGGGAGCAAGAAAAGAGAGAAACTTCTTGGAACAGGGGCGCGTTCAAATGCTTACACAGATTTTCATCACACGGTGTTCCATATTCATTCCCCCTCAAGTACAAAGGTGCATATCTTCTCATAGAAGTTTGGGAAGCTTTATATGAATTATATTTTCTTCAAATATGAGTCATATGACTGTGAGTAATTGAAATTCTTTCTCTAGGATTCTGAAGGTGATTTACTACCAGTTGTCTTGGATGCTCTGAATGAGGTAGAATTGAATGATTTCCTAGTATTATTGGTGGATGCAACGTCCTCTTGAGTTGTTTAAGCATCTTGCTTCCATTAATTAACCGCACATATATTTCGTTTACTCTTCCAGCCGTTCAAAAAAAGGTCATTTTGCAAATTGTAACTGCACATTTTTGACTCTTTTTTGGGACCAGCTAGTACTTTTTATGATTGATTATAAATTGCACAATGAGAACTGATATTTTTACCAAACTTTTCCTAGATAGCTTTCCACCCTAAATTTCTGTCTTCACGTGTTGAAAAAGAAAGACGAGCAATATTGTCAGAACTGCAAATGATGAATACAATTGAGTACCGAGTTGATTGTCAGGTATTTGTCAGAGGATGATATTTCTTAATCTACTTTATGTTGCTCTGTCAAATCATTGGTGAAATGAAATCCATTTACTGCAGTTGCTACAACACTTGCATTCTGAGAACAAGCTGAGTGAAAGATTTCCAATTGGACTGGAAGAACAGATTAAGAAATGGGATGCTGATAAAATCAGAAAATTCCACGAGCGTTGGTATTTTCCTGCAAATGCCACGTTGTACATTGTTGGAGATATAGATAACATTTCCAAGACAGTTGACCATATCGAAGTATGTTCTGTTCTTCAAGTCTGCACATTGATTAGGAACATTTTCTCCTAAAAAATCTCATCAGTATCTGCTCACTTCAACTAGTAACTGCATGGTATCATGCAGGCTGTTTTTGGGCAGACTGGCGGGCAGAATGGCATGGAAAATGGGACTGGTGCTGCACTATCACCAAGCGCATTTGGTGCAATGGCAAGTTTCCTTGTCCCAAAATTCTCAGTAGGTTTGGGTGGAAGTACATCCCATGAAAGGTCCTCAATTTCTACTGAGCAATCAAAAACTATCAGGAAGGAGAGGCATGTTGTTCGGCCTCCTGTACAACACAATTGGTGCCTTCCTGGTAATATCGAGGATGTAAAAGCTCCGCAGATATTTCAGCATGAGTTGCTTCAGAATTTCTCTATCAATATGTTCTGTAAGGTACAAAGCAGGGTTGATGTTTTTCTTTTCTATTTAGTCTTGTAATTTTAAAAATCCTTAGTCACAATTATTTGTGTATGAGCTAGTATTCTCAATGTCATCCCTTTTGTATTGAATTCCTCTCCTGATATTTGAATCTTCCTTGTGTTCCAAACTGTTGCACTGTCTTCTTTCCAGATCCCAGTGAAAAAGGTCAGAACATATGCTGATCTGAGGAATGTTCTGATGAAGAGAATCTTTCTTTCTGCTTTGCATTTTCGCATTAACACCAGATACAAGGTGCAAGGGTTTGCTCTCCATCTGCTGTTGGTTATTAAGCTCTAGTATTGCTTTTACTGCACTGTGCAAATCAGTTTCATTTGGATACTCAATGAATAATATGAAATCACTATTTTCCAAATAGTATGACTCCTAACAAGACTAAGTGGCCATTTATATTGATGAAAATAAAGACTCTTTTTGCATTTTTCTTTATAACAACAACAGCATCCAATATTTTTCTTTATTATTATTATTTTTTTTGGAAGAAATAGGCTTAGATTGATAACACATCATTTAGATAGTAGGTAATTCGAAAAAAAGACTTCTGAAAACTGTCGTCCCTCGAACCAGACTCAGAGTTAATCATCTCAGCAATATAACTCGCTGATTCATTCATGGGCACAAATGAGCCAAAGACGATCATCGCAGTTAATTTATCACCCACATCCAAAACAAAATCCACAGTCTTACAACCGAAATAAAAAAAACAAACGCAGACTGACAACATCTGACCATTAAATAAATAAAAGCAAAAAAGTAAAAATCTTCATTCGGTCTTCCAAGAACCACCATCTTCCAAATCTCTGGCGCTGACCTCTGCAACGTTGACGATGGCGGGCTTACCCTTCTAAGCCCGCCTCCTCCCCGTTTTTTGTTCCATCCAATGCCATATTATCTCCCACCTGGTTCTCTTTTTCCACCGCCTCCCAGATACGCCTGCGTTTTTGTTCCTCGCTGCCTCCTCGTTAACTCCCAAGACTGCATCTTCGGTCGAGCTGCTGACTGAACCCGCCGTGTATTCCTTCCCTCCTCCCATCCTTCCGTCTGATTTGTTATCCTCCTTGTTATGAGGATCCCGGCTCGAGCTTGAGGACCTGTCCACTAGCCATTTACTCCCTCTTGTAGGACTGGTCTTCACCCCACTACCTGCTCTGAGTTGTACTCCAAACCTTTTTCCCAGCACTAAATCTTCTTCATATGCCAATGGACAGAATTTTTGAGAGTGATCTATGATTCCGCAGACAAAACAAAAATTTGGCAACCTCTCATACTTAAAATCCACCCAATGCCCGATACCTTCTTTCTTAAGTTTAGTGCTTTTTTTCAAGGGCTTTTCCACATTCATATAGGGCCCTAACACGCAGATAGGATTCCCATTTTTATCCAAATTGTTTATCATCATAACTGATGAACTTTCCGATAAAATTACCCACCCGTCTTGCTGTACCTAAATTCATTAAGCTATACAGGACATTATGCATTGCACCCAAAACTCAGCCTCATTCAAACAGATCTTATGCAGACTATCATTTGGTTTAATTTCTTTCAAGATCAAACAAATTCCTCTCAAACTGCCATGGACCACTATCAAGCACATGTTTCATGTCAACAGGATGATAAAAAGTAAAGAGATACCTCTTATCACTGATCTCCTTGATCGCTACACCCTTTCCTGGCCTCCACAGCGATGCCATAAGCTCTTTGAACACTGGAAATTTGATCTTCCTGTTTGTCATAAACTCCGACCACCGGGTAGGTCGGCCGAACCTCCTCTGTTAGGACATCATCCAGTTCACCATCATCCAGATCTAGTTCCTCCACGTCCTCGCCGATCTGCATTTTCTTGTATTGATTCACGACTTGTTCCATGCAACCTTTCTCCTTCCTTGTTCGAGTCCGCCTTGGATCTCCTCTGGTCTGTAGCAGTCAGACGTACATGAACCTCAATCAGCCGGCTACGCTTCAATCCCCACCACCGAAATGTCAAACCTGTCCTGCAATCCCCGACGAACCACAACCGGTTGCGGAACCTCGATATCGCCCGATTCTGTCTCTGTCACTACCTTTGAATCACCTCTCTGAAACACCGGCCGAATTGCCGGAGAAGAAAGAGCACCGCTCCTTGACCGAGATCAATAAAGGACGTACGCCTCTAGTGGTCGAAACCCTTTCTTTATTATTATTATTATTATTATTATTATTATCATTTCTTATTTAAAAATTTAAAAAAAAAACATATTTTAAAGAGTTAATAGTCATCCAAGCACTTGCCAGAAAAGAAAAATAGTTATTCATGCGTGGACATAGTTGCAATGGAAGAAACTAATACATCAAAGCATGGAAATGACTTATTAGACTACTACAACAATTTGGATCTCATTATTGGGCTATTGCTCTTTTGATAGCATTGATTAGAGAGTAGTATGGAACTATGGATGTAGTTTTTCTTTTATTCTCAATGTATATGCTGTGGTTGTCATTTGCTAATTGGATGAACTTTTCAGAGTTCAAACCCTCCATTCACATCAGTTGAACTGGACCACAGTGATTCTGGAAGGGAAGGATGCACCGTGACCACTCTTACAGTTACATCTGAGCCCAAAAACTGGCAAGGCGCTATAAAAGTTGCCGTGCAAGAGGTTTTTTCTTATCTTGGATTTGGTACTAGCATTTTCTAAAATAATGAACCAGAGCACCTGCTTGGTCAATAGTACTTAAGTCATTTGTACAAGGCTTAAAATATATTCCATGCGAAAGAATTCTTCTGCAGTGTGGATCACATTTCATATTTTCTGCTATTCACATCACATGTCCTTACTAGGTTCGAAGGCTCAAAGAATTTGGTGTCACTAAAGGTGAATTAGCTCGCTATATGGATGCACTACTCAAAGATAGTGAGCAGTTGGCAGCTATGATTGATAATGTGTCCTCAGTGGATAATCTGGATTTCGTTATGGAGAGTGATGCACTTGGGCATACTGTAATGGATCAAAGGCAAGGGCATGAGAGTTTAATTGCTATTGCTGGAACAGTCACTCTTGAGGAGGTAATTGTAAACTTCCACAATAAGTGTCCTGATATTCACTAAAAGTGTGTTCACTGTTTTAGCCATTGTACAAATATGAACATCCTGTTAAGTGCCCATTTGGTTTCTTCGCAATTGCTAAGTAGCGTTGTCAGCCACTTCATAAGTGCTGTGACCAAATATAGTTTCAATTCTTAAAAAGTGGGGCAGATCTGCAAATAGTACCTTTTCTCAATTACTCCATCCGTCCCAAAATGTTAGATACATATGGGTTTGCTATGGGTTTAAGATATGCACCTATACATGGTTGCTTATTTTCAACCATTAAATTAAAAATATAATGGTTTATGGTTATGCTCTTTTTGACATGCAATTGATGCTTACACTAAAACTCGCGAGCATTTTTATTTTATGTCATCAACTTTTGATTCAATTGGTATGTAAAATTTTCAGTACACCAAAGGAGTTCATGCTTTGTTTGTTTAGAATAGCATCATAGTTTTAAAATACATTAATAATTGCATCACTTGTCATGCTTTTTTGTGACGGGTTCAGTGCAATAATTATATGCAGAATTTTAAGTTAATATTCAGTATTTAGTCATATGGTTTTCAAAATTAAATGATCTGATACATACATAATATAGTTGGCGTTTTACAAAATTTAAAGATTGGGAGAGACATTTTTTTGCTGCTGTGCCCACTAATTGAGGAAGCATAAGAGCATGATCATGACTTTGTTGTGATTGAGCTATTTTGCTACAACTAGTGCTCCATCTAACTCTACTCGTGACTTGTCTCACATTCAGTGAAGATATATGTATTGAGTTTTTATAAAATCTTAATCCTGAACCTTTTTCTCAGGTTAATTCTACTGGTGCAAAGGTATTGGAATTCATATCTGATTTTGGAAAACCATCTGCGCCGCATCCTGCAGCAATTGTTGCTTGTGTCCCAAAGAAGGTGCACATTGATGGGGCAGGAGAAATAGAATTCCAGATAACAGCAGATGAGATAAAAGCTGCTATAGAAGATGGTCTGAAGGAAAACATAGAACATGAGCCAGAGGTATTTATCTTAAACTAATCATTCTTATAATATGCACACAATATTGCTTGAAGTAAGGCAATGTATTTGTTTGTATGCGTCCAATGGTGCCCCACAACAAGAATGTAAGAGGGAAGCAATATTACTAGTAAGCAGAAGGAACGGGTCTCTTATTTTGCTCTTGGTTCATTACTTCATTGATCTCCTCAATGTGTAGGTTGAAGTACCAAAGGAATTGATCTCCTCAACGCAGCTTGAAGAGCTAAAACTGAATTCAAAACCATCCTTTGTAACCATCGGTACAGAAGAAAATGGAACAAAACTCTATGACAATGAAACTGGTATCATTCAACGGCGTCTTTCAAATGGAATTCCTGTAAATTACAAGGTATATTTTTCTTTGAATGTTTAACTTTTATCTTTAGTCGGGTCAGTGGAGAACTTAATTTTTGTTTCAGTATTTACTGTTTGTAAAGCACATGTGAAGTAATTCCAAAGGACCTGCAGTTTATAGGGTTTTAGTTTTAATATCATGCAATGATGTGGATACTGATAAGTGATAACTTTTTAGGTGATACTTTTACTGAGCTAGACAATTCTATCATAACATTGTATATGGTTTTCTTGGTTATTAGCTGCAGTATCTTTTGGAAGCTCACTTATTTTAAGGTTGAATATACCATAGTATGGAGTATGGACTGCACCATTTAAAAACATTTTGATGCACAGATATCAAAAAATGAAGCCAATTGTGGAGTAATGAGGCTCATTGTTGGTGGTGGGCGGGCAGCTGAAACTCCAGATGCAAAGGGAGCTGTTATTGTGGGTGTGCGGACTCTAAGTGAGGGTGGCCGTGTTGGAAGTTTCTCACGTGAACAGGTGATGGCCAAGTTATTTTATTTTTTATTTTTATTTAATGGCATATAATTCTTTTCCTTGGATATAATTCTGTAACCAGTAATTTATGAATTGAGTAGTAAGGAGAGCTGTGTAACTTATTATCATGGTATGTCTATTATGCATCGCCTTTTGACCTGCACTCAAATGACCTGTGTGCAGTATTGTTCTGACATTTATACACATATACAGGTAGAACTTTTCTGTGTAAATCATCTGATAAATTGTTCGCTGGAATCAACAGAAGAATTTATCTGCATGGAGTTCAGGTTCTCTTTGAGAGATGATGGGATGCGTGCTGCCTTCCAGTTGCTTCATATGGTACTTGAGGTAATTGCACTGGAGTCATCCAATTTTTTTTAGAATACCTTGATGAGCAGTAGTAGGCATCAATGAAGCACATAAATTCTCGGGAAAGAGTGCATTTCTGTTACGGAAACTCTATGGAAACTCTTTACTTCTTTAAAACTATCCAAACACTTGTTTTTCTATTAAAGCATTGTGTTTCCCGTTTCTCCATGTTCCCCATGTTTTTGTGCAACATAGGTAGGCATTGTTCTTATGCATGTGTGGTTGTGCTGCTTAAACATCCTCCCTTACTAGCATAGAGTTGCGTCCTGATCTTGATTCAACTTTGGCTTTACTTTATAAATCAGGGGGCCTTCTTATTGTGAATATTGGGGCGCTTTTATTGTGAATATCTCCATCCTATGTTTGTAAAAGTAGAAAATATGTTATTACAATATTTCACGATTTCCCACAAATTTTGAGAAATTGTGCTGTATTTGTAGTCAGGGGAGTAGCTGAGGCTTCATCCATTTAGATTTATACAGAATTATACATGTGATTATTTTCCACAGAACTTGGGGTGGGCGGGGACCGATCAGCCTCCCCCATCTGCCTCCCTATTACAGCCACCCTAACAATTAACTAAACCACTTGCAGCACAGTGTTTGGTTAGATGATGCATTTGATAGAGCGCGGCAGTTATATTTGTCATATTATCGATCTATACCAAAAAGTCTTGAACGTGCAACTGCCCATAAGCTCATGCTAGCTATGCTGAATGGGGATGAGCGTTTTGTTGAGCCAAGACCTCATTCTTTACAAAATTTGACTTTAGAAAGTGTGAAGGATGCTGTTATGAATCAGTTCGTCTGTGACAATATGGAGGTTTGTCATTTTATCTTTTTGGTGAAAAGTGTGGACTATTGCCTCTATAGGATGTTTTATGATGAAATTGGCATATGTTTGTAATTTCTCATCTGGATTTGTGTAATATATATTAGGTGTCTATTGTTGGGGACTTCTCAGAGGAGGATATTGAGTCATGTGTTCTTGACTATCTGGGAACCATTAGAGCAACAAGAGGTTTTGAGAGAGCACAGAAGTACGACCCGATCGTATTTAGACCATATCCTGAGTTGCAGCAAGTGAGAAAACATGCCTTTAGATCAGATGGTTTTACTCTTGTTTGTTTTGCTTTCTAACCGACCATTGCCTGTGTAGTGCTATCTTTTGTGCTCTATCCATTGCAAATCTTTCATTAATTTTGTTCACTTACTTCTTTTCAGGTTTTCTTGAAGGACACAGACGAGAGAGCATGTGCTTATATTGCGGGTCCTGCCCCAAACCGTTGGGGATTTACTTTTGAAGGGATTGATCTTTTAGAATCTGTCAGTGATGCTTCTGCTTATGATGGTGAGTTTGCACAGAATACCATGCATTGATGTTTAGTGCCTTTTATTACTTGAACTTCTTGCCTACGGAATTAGTATGCTGAGGTGGACTATTTAATGCTTGCCTTCACCATTCAGTTAGAGTTTGGAGATAAAAGGTTTTCGGAGTGTTAACAAGTTGTTTTTCAGGTAAGCAACTAAAATACGATGGTCAATCCAACAATCCAGACAATGTGGAAAAGGTCCTGCAAGGAAGATTTCACACTCATCCATTGTTTTTTGCCATCACCATGGGTTTGTTGGCTGAAGTAATAAACTCCAGGTGATTTCCTTCTTACAGTTGGAGCAATTATATCAATTTTGAAGTTTGCTCATTTCAAGTTTGCATTAGTTGAAAGCCCATGATAGCTTGTCTTTCAATTTTGCACAACACTCCTTAAACCTTAACATCACATCAACATCCAACTACATCCAAGCTTTATTCCCAAAAGATTTTGGGGTCCGCCAAATGAATCAATCCATGATATCAAAGCTAAAAAAAGAAGAAAGATAAGAAAAATAAAAAGATAAAGTAAGATAAAATGGATAAGATACACATGAATATAAGATAAAATAATAATAAAAGAACATAAGAAAGATAAAAAGATAAAAGAACATAAGAAAGATAAAAGATTAAAAAACATAAGAACATAGAAAGATAGAAAAGATAAACGATAAAAGAGAGAGAGAGGGAGGGAGGGGGGGGAGAGAGAGAGAGAGAGAGAGAGAGAGAGAGAGAGAGAGAGAGAGAGAGAGAGAGAGAGAGAGAGAGAGAAGAGAGAGAGAGAGAAAAGAGATCAATCGTCCGCACGATTATGCGCTCTCCACAATGCTCTCTCCAAAGTCATACTCTCATCCAACCCAAGAAGAAGCAGATTTCTTTAATCCAAGTTTGTTTGGGTCTTCCTCTCCCTGTCCTCCCTGCCTCTTCTCTCCATCTCTCAAGTCATCTCACAGGTGCATCAATAGGTCTTCTACGCACATGATCAGCCATTGCAATTAAGACTCGTACATTTTATCTTTTATGGGTGTTACTCCCATCTTTTGTCTGAATATCTCATTCCTCAAACGGTCTTTTCTGGTATGTGCACACATCAAGTGCAACATACACATCTTTGTCACATCATCTTTTGAATGTGACATTGTTTTACCGCCCACCACTCTACGCAACATACATTAATGCAGGCCTAGTCCGATAAAATTTACCCTTTAGTCTAGTTTGCATACTGTGATCACATAGAAATCCTGATGCACTCTTCCATTTCATCCATCATACTTAGATTCTATGGGATACATCTCCATCTAATTCACCATCGATCTGACTTATGGAGCCAAGTAATGGAACATATTGCACACCGGTATCTCTTTGCCATCAAGGGTAATCCCATTGTCACTACTACTTCTACCTCCACCAAACATGCACTACATATACTCAGTCTTGCTTTGGCTCAGTCTGAAACCCTTGGTCTCCAATGTTTATCGTCATACTTCCATCTTTGCTTTAACACCCGATTGTGTCTCATCAATCAATACAATATCGTCGGCAAACATCATGCATCACGGTATATCTTTTTAAATTGACTTTGGAAGTTCATCCATCACTATAACAAATAAGAAAAAACTCGGAGCCGATCCTTGGTGCACATATATAGTAATAGGGAACTCTGCAGTCCTCCCTAGACTAGTACGGACACTTGTAGTACAAGTCTCATACATATCCATGATGATAGTGATATATTTACGTGATATGCCTTTTTTAGTGATGGCCCACCAAAGAACTTCTCGAGGTACCTGGTACCCTATCGTATGCCTTTGCTAAGTCAACGAACACCAAATGTAGATCCTTTTTAATGTTTCTATACTTCTCCATAAATTGTGTAAGAAGGTGAATGGGCTCAGTTGTTGAGCGTCCATGCATAAAACCAAACTGATTCTCCAACATTTTCACTCTTTTTCAAGGACTTCGCTCAACTACTCGCTCCCAAAGTTTCATGGTGTGATTCATAAGCTTAATCTCTCAATAGTTGGCACATTCTTGTATATCACCCTTATTTTTAAACAGGGGAATAAGAGTACTCTTCCGCCAACTCATTGGCGGATTGAGAAATTTATGTAGCCATGCGACATATTATTTTATATTTAATACTTAATATTACGTTGAAGGTATAAGCACACCTCATACATATGCCTATAACCCTTATACATATATGCAGGTCTATACATGTATATTGATATATGCATGTGTGTGCATATGTCATTACAGGCCATTGTGTGCCTACTGTTTAGTATGCTAGTAAGCTAAGCATGTATTGTGTCATGGCTGTTCAGAAGATCGTTGCATTTTTTTCTAGTGATAACTGAGAAGAGCACAATGCCCAACTTATTTTTTTAACTCACTCTGATCTAAAGAAACTAGTAAGCATAGTTGTTGTGGCTTCGGCTAGGCGATGACTAGTCGTCCTCGCGATAGACAAGACCATGGTTTAAAAAGGCGCTTAAGACCATTTGTAGTGGTTAAAGATTAGGAGTCAAAAAATTAAAAATGGAATTTTTACTCTTAATTGGGTGTAATGGGAGATTAAAAGGGGGAGTAAAAGTGGGAAAGGGAGTGGAAGAGTGTAAAAATAGAGGGTTGGGTTGACAGGGTAACAAAAAAGGAAAAAGAAAAGAAGAAGAAAAAGCGGCCGCTCCTGCGCATTGTTCAAGCGTTCTGCTGATGTCATGATGATGTCACGCAGGCGTCATTAAAATCCCAATTAATTTTAAACTTATAACTTTTTTATTTGTTCTCCAATTTTTTTAAAATCTCCAATTAATTTATGAATTTTTATGATCTTTCAAATGACACCAATATGTAATATAGAAAATGGAAAAAAAATTGAAGTTTTAATTGTTGAAGTTTTCTTGATCCCCAAAAAAACACGAAACACAAATTTTTAATTCATTGAGCCTTCACAAATGCTAACTTAATATTCCATAATCGAATTTTATTTGAACTAAGTTCATTTTTTGTTAACCAAAAACCGTCATAAAAAAATTAATGAAATTTATTTTTTTACTTCGAAATGTGTATTTTTTATTTCATAATTATCTAGGGAAAAATTAAAAGAAGGAAAAAATTAAAAGGAAAATGTTACTTATAATAATTTAATTAATGGGTTACTAAATTGATGTGTAAAAAATATGCAGTGTGTATTTTATTGACGGTGCACGGATGCCGGGAAAAATAGTATTGACGGAGTCTAAACAATTTGGACTCTTGACCTCTACAAATGGTCTAAGAGGCGGGTTTTGAGGCGCGCCTCAAGGTGAGGCGTACATAAAAGGTTTTGAGGCTTAGGTTTTTTTTGGAGGACAAGAGGATTACGCCTCAAAATTCAAGGCGTACGCCCTGAGGCGCACCTTGAGGTGTTTTTTTCCTTTTATTCTATCTTTTTAATGTGCTTGTAGCTTAAAAGGCAGTGTTTTCATTTAATAAAAAGCTCATACATGAAACACGTGCCTACACTAAACCCAAACAAGTCTTGTTTCATGTAAAGCCTAACATATCCTCCCTATTGAGCATTCTGTCTGTCGTTGAAACTTATTCATACTTCTGCACAAAGAAGCAGATGTGTAACCAAGCAAAAAATACGAAAAATAAACAAGTAATGGAGGTAAATGATGATGAAGAAGAGAAAGAACTTAAGGATTATGATAGTGATGATAGAAGGGATGACGGTGAGAAGGCTATAGGATATAAATATATAATGATTCTTCTGAAGACCCTCCAGTCATAATGATTAAACTTCAAAAGTTTCAAATTGTCATCTATGTGATCTGTCTGTTTTAATTCTCATTTTGAGTTATCGTGTTTGGTTATGTGAGCATATATGTGTGTGTTTGAGACTTTTTGGACTTTTATTATACATATCTATAGTTGGTCATTACTAGTTTAATTATTTTAAGTTTTACTTGGTAAATTTTGAGGCTTACGCCTCGCCTCTCGCGAACAAACTGCCTCGATACCCGAACTAGCCCTTTTAAACATTGGAGGAGACAGGCATGCCATGCTCACTTGACTCGCCAGAAAAAGCCACACCTCTTATTACCCCTTACATATGTAAAAGCGGGACTATTCAATTTATTTGGCATCATTTTATTACTTTTATTTTGATTTGTTATGTAGTTAATGTAAGGAGTAAAATTTTGTGGTATGCTTTTGATATTTTTGTATTATGTATGAAACTGAATCAAGTATTCTGGGTAGTGATCATAATATTGATTCCTTTATTATTTTGATGAAGTACTGTTGTTATTATTCATAATGTTATTTTTATTATTATTAGTAGTCATATATGTATATGTGTGTGTATATTATTTACAAAAATATCCCTAAGTTTTTATATTTATGCGATTCCCCCACGTTTCGTTTCCTATATTTTCTGAAAATTTCGTTTCTTGTGTTTCCTGTTTCCCGTTTCCGTGCAACCTAGCATAGCATTGATTATGCACTAGCAAGTAAAAAGTTTATGACTCATGTATTGCTCTTGGCACGGTTTTCATGCAGGCTCTTTACAACAGTAAGAGATTCTCTTGGATTAACATACGATGTTTCATTTGAGCTAAACCTATTCGACCGCTTGAGGCTTGGGTGGTATGTGATATCAGTGACATCAACCCCCTCCAAGGTGCAGATTTACATTTTTTAAGTCTTGGACTGTTTCACCCATTTATTTGCCAACTTGTATTTAGTATGGGTTATGTGCAGGTTCACAAAGCTGTTGATGCTTGCAAAAATGTCCTCAGAGGCTTGCATAGCAACATCATTACACCAAGGGAGCTAGATAGGGTTAGTGGCCTACTTGCCTCTCAAAATTTCTCCAGATTACAGTTTTTGCATTTCACCCATATATTCATGAAGTAACTCTACTTTTGGTATTTTTGGTAATATAAATTTCCAAAGCTGTGATTGTTGTTACAGAATACAGATTCCCTTGCTGTAGTAGGAATGATATACTTCGTACTCATACATTAGCTCAGTGCTTTCTTTATAGAATGGTTTTATTATCTAATAAAAAAGCTAATGTGACTGAGGCATTTCTTAAGGCTTAATATTGTTCTCCCTCAGGCAAGGCGAACATTGCTAATGAGGCATGAAGCTGAGAGTAAATCAAATGCTTATTGGCTTGGATTGCTTGCTCATTTGCAAGCTACATCAGTACCCAGGAAGGTGAAGTAACAAGTCTTTGTTTGTACTATTATTATTTACTTTTATTTGGGTAGTTGTGTTTTGTGAAAATTGTGGAGGTGGCACATCACTATATTTTTTACTTTATCCCTTTTAATTTCTCAGGACATATCATGCATTAAAGAGCTGACTGCACTGTATGAGGCTGCTACGATTAAAGACATATATGTTGCCTATGAACAGCTGAAGATAGATGAAGGTTCCTTGTTCTCTTGCATTGGAATTGCTGGAGGAAATGCTGGGGAAGACATTTCAGGTAACCTGGTTGGATATACTCTGCTGTAGCTTAAGCTTACACAGTTACACTGCTATATATGGCGCACATATATTATAAATGTAACTAATGCCCCATTTATACTAAATGGTGCACAATTGACCTCATTGGATGTACTCTGAAATTTGCTATGTTCTCAATGGCACTATGCTTACATAATCTGAAGTATATACCTAAGGAGTTGGTGAAATGTTTTCTCATAAAGTTGTATAAATGATTTTTTTTCCTTTTTAAAACTCATTATTAAGATGCACAATGATGGAAATTAGTCTTGGGTTTCTCTTTTTTTTTTCTACTTGTTTCTGAATTTTATAAATGTGGACTTTTTTGGGTGCATGAGGACCATGACGAGTATTATAGATTTGCAAAATACACTTTCATCTGGTTTTATGTATGTAAACCTTGAGTGGATTTGATGCATCTTCTCCATATTCTGCTTTAAAATTGTCTTTTGTTTTGGTGTTTTGGGTTCTAGTTCCTGTAGAAGTGGAAGAATCAATTGATGGTGGTCTTTCGAATGTTATTCCTATGGGTCGTGGTTCGTCTACAATGACACGACCTACAGTATAGAAATCCCTTGAAAGAAAGATTTTGTACGGTATGTTTACTGGATAATCTGATGCGTTAGACTTATCTAATATTAGTCCAAGGGCCTATGTAATATGGAAATCAAGTTCCTACAATATGGTACCTTTTCACAAATTTTCATTATCAAGTGTTGTTATATCTATATTAGTCCAAGGGGCAAGGGCCTATGTTGCATGGAAACTTGAGAATAGTAGGGACACTGAAACGGGAAGCACTACCTTTTAATAAAGGGAAAACTGTCAAATAGGTCTTCGAACTTTCATAAAAAAGTCAATTAAGTCCTTCTATAGGAGACTATGTCCGGTCATCGCGATTTGGGGCGGTTCTCAATGGAATTTTTTGATGAAATTTTTTGAGCATCTTATTCATCAAGTCTAGTTTACTCATACCAAATTTCAACTAAAAATTTAATCGGGAGCGCATTCAAATTAATTCGAGAACGCAAAAATGCACAGTTATCTTCAAGAATTAATTTGAATGTGTTCCCGATTGAATTTTTAGCTGAAATTTGGTATGAGTAAACTAGCCTTAGTGAATAAGATGCTCAAAAAATTTCATCAAAAAATTCCACCGGGAACTGCCCCAAATCGCGACGGCCGGACAGAACCTCCTATAGAAGGACTTAATTGACCTTTTTATGAAAGTTCGAGGACCTATTTGACAGTTTTCCCTTTAATAAAAAACAACTGTAGAGGATTTCCGTAGAGTTTCTGAAATGGAAACATACTCTCTCCCGAGAGTTTCCATGATTCATAGCCTCATAGGGCTCCACACATGCCTTTATCCTATTGGAACACAAGTTATTTGTCAATTTACAATTCTGTAAAATGGGAAAAAGTTATTTTTTAGTCTTTCCTTTTTCTTTTGGAGAATATTTCAGCTTGAAACTACGTGTATTCCATTTAATTTTACTGAAAAATGAGAAGTTTTCCGTGTGCTAATAATTCGTGTACAGAGACTGAAGTTTCTGGTGGCTTATGAGCTGGACGTCTACAAGCGGAGTATATTAATCCGCCTTAGGCATGGGATTTATGCGGGATTTTATTTCCAACAGAGGTTGTTGGTTCCCAATGTTGTATTATTATTATTATTATTATTAGAGTATGAAAGAGGATTAGTGATGCATGGGATTTTACTAGTCAAAATGCGCATTTTTTTGGTCCTGAATAGACAAAAAATTGCGGGAACATTTATCTAAAGTACAACCACAAATCTCGCTCATTCTTTCGTATATATACGTTATATACGAAGTATGTATCTCTGTGTGTTATTGCCTATGTAGTGCTGCTTTTTCTATCATTATTGAGTTTAGTGCTGATGTCCTAAACCTGTTTTTTATTTTCTTTAATATGAAAACAAGAAAATTGAATTAGAAAACTACAATTTTTTCAATGTATCTGAAAGTTGAAAAAGTCAGACTTTAAAGTAGAATATTCAATTAAATAGGCCCGTAGACTGAAAAATAGTGTACCATAAATCCATATGTTACACCATCTAGCAGACCTGCATCCGCTTTGCTAAAGAAATAATCTAGTTTGAATGGAAACTGATATTTTTAGTAACCTGGTAAAACAAGTATAAAAACACTCTTTATGACCGTTTTTTGTAATCTGGTAAAACAAGTTTAAGAACACTCTTTATGACCTAATGACCATTTGTTAACATTGAAATTAGCTGAAGATAAATTTTCAAGTGGTTGAGTTAATTGAATCTTTTGAATTCTGTATAATTTATATTTAAAATATATTTTATTAATAAAGTAAAAATATATGTGAAAATAGTTACAATGGTCTCGATTCGGTTAGAAAGTAACTATAATTTTGATTGTTACACGATTCAACATGTCATATAAAGAATTGAGTGTGAAAAAAACTGGACTAATAAAATTGAGTGAAATGTGAATTCACTGAACGGGCTCATAAAAGAATAAAAGATGCATGTTTCGTGACCTTCGAACACTAGAATTTCACAATTATGTGACTTGGTGAGGAATTGTTATGAAGTTGAAAAATGCACATTTATCATGGATACTATAACAACTCGAATTTCAATCTCAGACACCTTTTCCTCAATCGCAAGGATAATAATTACTGAATAAATTAATAGTGAGCATGTCTGGAACAATTAATAATTTAGATTAAAAATCACCTCTTAGAAAGTAAAGAGTTTTAACAAAAAGTGCGTTGGAGCATCTACAGAAGTCTATAATCAATTAGGTTAAAGGAAAAATTACTTGTAATTTTTTTTGGAAGTTAATTTCTTGTATTTAAAAACCCAAAATTATATGGAGCACTACGTACTTCCTATTTCATTAAAATGTTTCATTGTTTTTCGAAATTTCCTAAAATAGGAGTAATGATAATACAAAATTCCAGAATTGGAATATTTTACATTTCCTTAAGTAGGAGTATATATTATTATTATCATTGCTAAAATCCTACTGTCATATTTACAAAATAATTGTATTTTTCAAATATGTAAGTAATTACTCTTATACTCCGTATAAGGGAAAAAATAGAAAAAAAAAAGAGAAAAAATACTCCGTACAAGGGAAGGAAAGTAGCTCTATTTTGAAATATTATGTTTTTACTTCTGTCGAGGACATTCCATTAATAAATTTAAAAAATCGGCCTTTTGTTGCAAAGGAGAAAAAGTTCATTCAAGTGTTCAACTATAATCGTTATAACAACTGAGGATAAATGGAATTGACCATCCAAATCAATCTAATTTTGTTAGGTTTCAGAAATCACAAACAAGGTCAATATAAACGGGTAACTATGCATCCAAATGGAGAAGGAATTAGGTTAACGGTTACACCAACTTCTTATCTTCCATACAGTCACCCAGCGAAAAAGGAAACTGAAAAATGGAACAGCATGCACAATAGCACTCGGTTTTGGACATGGTAAAATAAACGCCGATATGGTTAGTCACATGATAATGGCAACCTTCAACTTTCAGCTCACCAAATTTATACCGATGTATAACACAAACAAACTCATGCACGCCAACACTACCATGCATATAACTCATCACAACATGTTCATGCATCCCACAGCATTATGAGCACAACTACACAACCAATAACAATCTTACAAAAATGACCACATTCTCCAACTCTTCTGCGTATGACGCTGCAGGCAACTTACCTTCACAGGGCTTTCTTCTCTTGCCAGAGATTCAGGCGGTGGAATTGATCCTTGCTCTCATGGTTTTCCTGACCATACATGCTCTGAGGCAGGAGAAGAAACATGGGTTGGCATGTTGGCCAATTGTTGGAATGTTGCCTGCTCTAGTCCTTGGCGTTCGGAAAGACCTATACGAGTGGCTTTCAGGAGTTCTCTGCCGCATGAATGGCACCTTTACCTTCAGAGGTCCATGGTTCACTAATCTCAACTGTGTGGTGACTTGTGACCCAAAGAACTTGGAGTATCTACTGAAGGAAAGATTCTCAAACTTCCCGAAAGGAGAATTTTTTCGGAACACGGTACAAGATCTTCTAGGCGACGGCATATTCACTGCAGATAATGAGAGTTGGCAGAAGCAGAGAAAGACAGCAAGACTTGAGTTCCATTCTGCCAAATTCCGAAACCTCACAACTGATTCTCTGCTGGAGCTTGTCCACCAGAGGCTCTTACCTGTGCTGGAGGAGTCACTCAACCAATCTGCTGCCCTTGATCTGCAGGACATTCTCCTACGGCTCACATTTGACAATGTCTGCATGATAGCTTTTGGAGTTGACCCGGGGTGTTTGCGGCCCGGTTTGCCAGAAATTCCCTTTGCCCAAGCTTTCGAGGATGCAACAGAGGCAACCATAATGCGTTTTGTCTTCCCCACATTTATATGGAAGGCCATGAGGTATCTCGGCTTTGGGGCAGAAGGGGGACTGAAAGTATCACTGGAAAAGGTAGACCACTTTGCAGATGAAGTGATCAGGAAGAGGAAGGAGGAGCTGTCTCTGGCATTGTCAGAAGGTGCCACCAAACACAGATCAGATCTACTAACAGTATTTATGGGACTCAAGGATGAAAAGGGCAGGCTGTTTTCAGATAAATATTTGCGTGATATTTGTGTGAACTTCATATTGGCTGGTAGAGACACTTCATCTGTAGCATTGAGCTGGTTTTTCTGGCTCCTGAATCAAACACCAGAGGTGGAGGAAAGAATCATTGCAGAAATCTGCCAGATTTTGAACTCAAGGGGGAAAAACCATATTACCAAAAAAGGGTATGGGAAAACACCGATCTTCGAGCCAGAGGATATTAAGAAAATGGATTATCTTCAGGCTGCTCTGTCGGAGGCTCTGAGATTGTACCCTTCTGTTCCTGTGGATCACAAGGAGGTAAGACTCTTCAACCATAAACAACATAATACACTATTCTCCAAAGCAAAAACTAATAAAAATTATTTCCTACAACAAAATCCACCGTAAAAGAATGTTAGTTAGGACTAATGAATTACTGCAACAAAGACAAAATCTCTTCTTTTCAGTAGCCCTTTTTCTTGTACTTCCTCCACTATAAAATAATACTCCGTAAACAGTGGCGGAGCCAGAAATCTATTGTTGAAGGGGCCGGTCTTTAAAAATTTTACATTGCAGGGACCAAAGTTTAAAATATCAACATCTTTTCTATAGATTAAAAGTATTTATACATAATATATACTTAAGAATTTTTTTCTTGCAGGGGCCGTGGCCCCCTCCAGCCCCTCCCTGTCTCCACCCCTGTCCGTAAAGAAAACCCTTTTGTTAAATTACTTGACTTCTGCATCATCATTACAGGTCCTTCAGGATGATATCTTCCCAGATGGGACAGTGCTAAAGAAGGGAACCAAGGTGATATATGCAATCTATGCAATGGGAAGAATGGAGAGTCTGTGGGGAAAAGATTGCAGAGAGTATAAACCAGAGAGGTGGCTTAGAGATGGGAGATTCACGAGCGAGTCTGCCTACAAGTTTGCAGCGTTCAATGGTGGCCCCAGGTTGTGTTTGGGGAAGGATTTCGCTTACTACCAAATGAAATTTGCAGCTGCATCCATATTGTGCCGTTATCATGTGACAGTGGTAAAGAATCATCCAGTAGTGCCAAGGATGGCACTGACACTGTACATGAAATATGGTTTGAAGGTGACACTTTCAAGGCGTGATCAGTCTGAGCTTCACCATTATCTGAACAATGAATAAGAGGAGCATTTCATAGGCCACCATATTCAATTAATACTATATACTCTTTGTTTGTCTTCTACTCTTCATTGGTACCTTAAAACATAGACAGGGTGGTGTTTCAAGGATTGTGGTGGATATACAGCTGATTAGGAATGTTTTTTTTGTATTGTAAATTTCTTCTACTATACCTCCCACCCATTTTAAATGTCTACTCAGTTATTTTGTGTAATCAGGCTCGATTCAATTATGTAAAATGCAGATTTTAATCTCATTTAAGAAATAAAAACATAATTAAAAACATGAAGGAAACACACAAAATATTCACCTCAACATGTTATCCGAAAAATCACTGCCATGACAGGATAAAAGCCTGAATCTACACACACAAAAGGGACTTGGCCACTTGGGGAGTTGGGGTTAACTACAGATTCCAATCTGCAACAAACTTATTTAAGTAAAAATTAGGTAGCAAATAAAAAAGAATATACAGACCAACATTTGAAGCATGCATTATCACTATTATGTTGATTATTGATGGCGCGTCTCTTCGCATGATTAAAGCAAAGAAACATGGTATAAGTGGGTTGACAAAGTCCACACTTTTGCAATGTCAACCCACAGCTTTCGAACATAGAACTTTAGACACAAGGTGCAAAGCAACAATCAAAGCTTCCTTCATGCATTGTCGTGTTAATGTGATTGCTTCACAACGCGAATTTCCAAGTTCATTTGGATTAAAAATGATCAACAACTCTGTTTGACCAACAACGTGTTAATGTAATTTTTCTTAGTGACACATACTCCGTATATTCCAATGTTTCTATGCATGTACTCCAGTTTATCTCACTAGCACAGTGGCACTGCACAACTCATCTCAATTTGTGTGCCACTGGGTTTGTAAGAGAAAAGATCATTTGCCTAAAGATCAAGGGTAGATCTCCTTAAATATATATAACATTCAACTCATTGCCTTTATTATCTTTAAAGAATTAATAAGGTGTGTGTTTGGCAAGTTTCTAGGAATGAAAATAGGCATTGGTGTGATACAGAGGGGGCGAGTTTCATAGTCCATTTGGAAAGGGGTTCAATGCCAATTAGTAGGGAATCAAATCCATGTGGACTCCATTACTGATCAGGAGTTTGGCAAATCCCAATTGGGTCACTACATATAGCAGCCCATCTTGCTTTCGCCACACTATTAGCTTCGCAAGCTGTGTTTGTTAACTGCGACGGCTTCAGCGAACTGGAACGATAAGATCGTGTCGAACTTCTCCTGGACTGAATTTGTTCCTCCATCGCTGCTGCTATAGATGCTTCAATGTTGCTTTGAATCTGTTCCTTCATCGTTGTGGCGAAGTTTTTCATCATTGCCCTCATCTCCTGTTGCCACGCATCAAAGCGATTTTCCATTTTAGATCTGGTCTTAAGCCTGAAACGAAAACTCTGCAGTAGTCGCACTTCAATTCCGATCTCCAGGAGCGGTGATGCTCTGATACCAATGTTAGGGCCTGGTAATAATCCAGTCCAAAAGTAATGGAAGAACACACAGATCTGATAAACTTAGGGGGAAATATTGTTTATTGATGAAATAGGGTAAACCATAGGTAACAAGGGACAGGGACAGGGACTTCTTAGGCAACAAGGCAACACTCAATATCCAAATAACAGTCTACCTTTTAGTAGCTACACAACTTACTATTTATAGTAGTAGGTCCACGCAGGGACTAAAATAGATAAACATACTCATTAAATGACCCCAGCCCACTTAATTGACCTCAGCCCATTTTATTTCTCCTTTCAAATACCTTATTAAAATACTAAATAGGCAGATTCCTAACAGTATTATAGATTAATAAACTACTATTGACGAATTAATTCTTGCGTTGAAAAGTCGGACATCAATTTTTTCCACTTTAAGCATGGACTCTAAATAATCTCTTTCCATTCTTCCCCTTTCTCGTTCTTCCCACCAGATCTGAAAGGAGATCCCAAGCATGCACATAACACAGATCCTACTGTAAACTTGCATCTCAAGTTGTAGAACACGCTCTCTATTACTCCCTCCGTCCCATAAAATTCTTCCCACCTACCTTTTTGGGATGTCCCAATGCATCTTCTCATTTCTTTTTTTGGAAAGTTTTGTGTGGCTAACATTCATTTATTTTTTTCTTACTCAACCACAACCTTACATTTCCACGTATTCTCACTTTCTTAAACTCCGATCCAAGTCAAACCGGGAAGAATTTTATGGAACAGAGGGAGTATTATCGAACAGTGAACATAACTATAGAGCCACATGATTATTTTCCACACTCAGATGGGTATATTTATTCTGCATTTGCATACATGCAGAGGGCATTTAAATGCAATATTTTACAATAATGGTGAGAATCAAGATTTTGAAAATGCATCCTGAAGACTTTTGCAGTCAACTAAATATGCAAAACCATATGACATGTTCATTAAGGTTGCATGATGCAGTTCTGCCGAGGACGTAGCAGTAGCATTTGTGGAGAAGAAAACCCTGAAACCCCTCACAAAAGCCTCTCTTGCAGTGGTCTCACAGCACAAGTTGGTCATTACGCCAGTCACAATTACCTCTTTTGCCCCCATCTCAGCCAGAGTGTCCTCTAAGTTTGTACCTAACACACATCACGGTGCATCAGTCAATTAATTTGTTAATCAGTTAACAAAAAAGTGAAAATACTCAATTTTTTTGTCTCTGTTTAGCTAACTCTTAGGAAACCTATCGATTTGGGTAATCAGCACTATCTGATGTGGGCGCCCCGACATGATTCGTGATAGATTTTTATTACATGTATTATTATCCGTTTCCTAGAGTAACATTGGTATTAGTTTGTAATAGTCCTATTGGCAATAATATTTTACTCAGTTAAGTTATTAAGGATTAAACTCTAAATTGTAATTGGTTACAGCTTACAAGTACTCTAATTTGTGACCATCAAGACTCTTAGGAGCAAGTATACTATCAATTATTTCAGATATAATTCATGTATCTTTTCAAAGCTTGAAGTGAGGTTCTGATAGATCATGCATAAATAGGCACATTTTGTTTGATGGAATAAAGCAAAATGGCTCACTGAACTGTCTGCGCTTCTTTGTTATGAAGCAGTAGTCAGTTCATGCAACTTTTGGACACGATTATCATCATGGGTCATCCGGAAACAGTTTCTTTATGCTTTAGTACAGGGGTAATGTTATTGTTGTTGTTGTTGTTGTATCTTTGCAAGGCGAAACACTGAAATTTACTCCCTGCCAAGGGCGTATAGTTATTCATCTTCATATCTTTTCATCATTTCCCTTCTTCTCCTAGCCACACTTGTAAGGCTATCTTAATAGATCTGTTTGAATAGGATGAAGAAAATCAAAGGGTTTGGTATGATGTGCCATGGGTTATATCAGGGCATTAGAGCATTTCTAATGCAATAATATGCACGATGCACAACTAGGAGAATGTTGTTAATGCTACTGCTGAAGATAACCAGGATCTCATTTCTAACAACCAGGCCCGCGGATGGTGGCGAACTCAAGCAGGGAGGATCAGGAGAAGCATTCGGTAAAAGTTTTGAACGAAAGGTCATTAAACCCATTTTGAACACTCAAGCTAAAAATGATGATCTTCCTAAAATTGATTGGAAAGCAAGGAAAGCAAAACACATAAGACGTTCCCTGGAATACTCTACCAACTTTCCTTAAACCGTTTAGCTAGACTTTTGAAGATAACGTATCTCTAAGACATGTTGGCAGACTTTGAGAGATCTCTAGAAAGCGTTTTTTAGAGTGAAAAAGGTCAGATTCACATCCAAGTGTGTAAAACCTCAGTCCAACACAACAATGTTAGCATCATCGATGCAAATGCATAGGCAAAGCATGTAACTAATGATTTATTAGGAGCGTAACTAATGGAATCAATTCATGCAATCAATTTTCAGGAGGCTTCGCATCTGGGAGGAAGAGCAGCACAAGCGTAGGGCGCAGACTTTACTTGCATAAGGTCTAGCGACTGCACTAACCGACATGCTTAGATCCTCAAATTCAATCGCAGTACAACTCACATGAACTTGGAAATCAATGCAAAGAATGTTACCTCTGAAGGCGCTGTAAGTGCACTTTTCAACCACCAAGTCAGAATCCACCCTGCCCAAATCGGGGATGAGCTCGGCCTCAACAGTGCCGTCCATGATAAGGTTGCCGTCCCACCACTCGTAAAGCATGCCGTAGTCCTCCTGGGACTGGTGACGGTGTCGCGTGAAGATCACAGGCACTGACGCGCCGCGGCAGAGATCGATTGTGGCCTTGATCTCCGGCAGGATAGGCTTCGCCATCGAGTGGAAGTAGTTTTGCATGTCAACCACTAACAAGACGGCCGATTTGGGGTCCGGATCGCGCTTTCTGACGTCATATTTTTCGTATGGCGGGTGTGATGACGTCGGTCGGAACATTTCTTATAATCCGCTGAGTTTTCGTGAATGAACGAAGAGAATTTGCCTTAGACGAAGAGATAGCTTTGGAGCTTTTAGATTAAAAAAAGCAAAAAAAAAAAAGTGTTTGGTAAACCTAACTTTTTTTTTTAAAAAAGTATTTTAAAGTCAAAATCTAAAAACTAGAGCATACCAACTTCTAATAGCTTCTAGGTAAACTTGTAATTACCTCCAACTTTATGAATAATAATAATGTCAAAAAAATCCCCTAACCCCCCAGCTTCTATGTCCAAAAGTTTAAAGGGTGATTTTGTACTTTTGAAAAAATTATTCCATCATAATCACTTTTTTATCAAACACTCCAACTTTTACATTTTAATTAAAATCACTTCTATTCCCAAACACTACCAACTTTTACTACAAATCACTTTTCCAATAATCTATTAAAAAAATCACTTTTAAAAAACACAAGCAATCACAAACACTCCCTAAAACATACGGAGTAGTAAAAGTAAAAGTTCGATAATACGGACTAGGAGTTACTCATTTTACATGACAAAAAGGAAGATTACATGAAGAAATAACATTGGGCATCAAGAAATGCCGGGTGTTCCGTTTTTTATTTGTTTTCAGCTTTTGCTCTATCATTTCTGATTTATTTATTTTTAGAACTTTATAGTGCCATTTCTCATTTATTCATTTTTTAAAATACCATTTATGGAATTATATAGTGTCATTTCTAAAGTCACAAAATGACATAATTTTATTTTTATTTGAACATTATTGCTTTGAAGGTAATGGTATTTATGTAATTATATAATGCCATTTTATATACACCTTGGACAAACAGCGCCATTTTTATGGAAATTATTTTATCAATTATGTTAATATTATTTTCCAATGCCATGTTTTTGTATTATGAATGCCATATTTTTTTAATTCCAAAGTGTCATATTGTAGATCTTAAAGTGTAATAACATGTCAATGTTACTGTGAGGATGGCAACAACACGAGAGGTAAGAAAGAGTGCCATTGTGATGGTTGCGGTGTAGATCCAGCTCACGGCGGCCATAGCAGAAGAGATGATGCCAAAGAAGAGGTGACGATGGTGGTTGCAGAGGTGGCCGCTGGTGGTTGAAGAGCCGCCGGCGACGATGGTAATTGTAGAGGCAGCGGATGACAATAGAATTGAAGAGCACCAGTGACGGTAATAGGTGTGGCGGCCGGTGGTGGAAGAGCCGCCGACGACAGGGACGTTGGATACAGATGAGATGACTGGCAGCAGAGAAGGCGCACCATCGTGCCCTAGGTTGTCTTCCGTGTCTTGTACCACTTCATTTGTATTCTTTCGCTCCATATTACTCCGTATTATATTGCTTTAAATAAAAGAAATCATATGTTTTATTAAGGGCAAATCTGTCAGATTTTATGTTTTAGCTATTACGGAACTCCTAGGTCCTATTTTTGCACTTTTCTAATGTTTTACTCTTAGTTAGGTAATGTAATTACCCCATGAACGAACCATCAGAAGTTCAGAACATTTCGTGTATTTTTGGACATATCAATCACATACTCACATATTCTCTAAGTGTTGTGTTAGGTGTATACAAAATGTGTACACTTTGTATTCTAGAAAAGAAAATTGCAGCTTTTATTTGGGGTTCAAGTTATGATCATCATAAACTGCATTGGGCTAGCTGGTCAAGACTTTGTCAACCCACAGAAGAAGGAGGATGGGGAATTAGGTCTTTATCAACTCTTGAAAAAGCTTTTTCTATGAAGATTTGGTGGAAGTGGAAAACACAAAATTCTTTATGGACCTCTTTCTTTAAAGCTAGATATCCAAGAGATGCTACGGTTACTAAAATTACTGACTCCCCTATTTGGAAAAGACTTGGTAGAATAAACCATAGTGATGTGGAATTATGTCATATCAATGAGTCTGGTGGTTTAGTTTGGGATCCTGGTGAGGAGGGTTCTTTTACTCTAGCTTCAGCTTACAATGAATCAAGAGAGACTCTGGCTTCTACCTTCTCAAATAAACATATCTGGCATAAAGATCAGCCTATGCAAATCAAGGTATTCACTTGGAGACTGATTCATAATTGCTTGCCTATTTCGGATACTATGTTGAAATTTCAACTGGTACTAAGGCCATCTATGTGCCCTTTATGCGAAAGTCATCTTGATACTCTTACACACTTGTTTTATCAGTGTAAATTTTCACAAGGAATTTGGGAATATTTCATGGGAATTTTCCAAATTCCTATTCCCAGTGCTATCTATTCTATTCATCAAGTTTTTATTCAATGGTGGTTGGAAGCAGGAGCTAAAACTTTGGCAGACACTTTTAAACACATTATGCCAGGGGTTATTTGTTGGTTCATATGGAAGTCTTATTCTTCCTATATTTGGGGTTCTGAACCTATTCCTAGCGCGAGGCATATTATTGACCAGATCAAGCTCTACTCACAACGGTGGTCGGCCAATCTTTGCAAGTTCAAGAACAAAAGAGTGGATGATTTTCTCAAGGAAGAGGGTTTAATTTATCAAAATTTTAGATTTAGAACTTCTGGAATCCGAATCATCAGATGGAAGAGACCTCAACGTGACTACAAGCTTAACATAGATGCCTCTTTTATACCTGGATATGCTGCTGGAGGTGCCATTCTTCGTGATAATAGGGGGGAGATGGTGTGGGCGATTAACTTCAGACTGATGGCCAGTTCGAGTGAAGAGGCAGAGCTTCGAGCTATAATCCAAGCGACGAACTGGGCGATGGAAAAAGGGTACGTTAATTTTCAGGTAGAGAGTGATTCTTATGCTGCGTTGAAGATGATTTCTGAGGAACCGAAGGGGAAATGGAGTTGCCTAATTCTACTTTTTCGTGAGCAAGCAATCCAAAAAGGAATTAATTTCAGTCATACTTTGCGTGAAGGAAATTGGACGGCTCATTCCTTAGCAGATCGGGATTTGATAACGACCCAGTTCAATTACTTCAGTTCGGTGGATCTTCTTCCGGGCCTGGTCCAAAAATATTATTCTGCAGATTTACTTAGTTACCCGTACCTTAGATATTAATCTTATTTCATGTATTTTATTTTGGGTCAGGTCTAGCCTTCCAAAATGTTTTCTTTTTAGTTGATTTTGCGTATGGACTCCTATATCAATAAAATAATGGCAAATAACTCCCGGCATTTGCCCCACTGATTTTGGTGGTTTGCCTTCTGAGATAAAAAAAAACATGTGTACACTTTGTTTGTACACTCGTCTATCCCCTGTAGACAAGTTGCCTGTCGACAGATAACTTGTCTATGGGGCACAGACGAGTGTACAAACAAAGTGTACACATTTTGTGTGCATCACACATTTTTCATTCTCTAACCCTCATGTACAAGAATAATCTCAATTATTATTAGTAATATGTTGAGATATTTAAAGCATAATCATCACAAAATAATCTAAATTATTTGAAAAAATCTTAAAATGCTCTATAGACTCATAAATATTACTCTTTCCATTTCAGTATGATTGTTTTATTATCATGCCAAGATTTTCTGATACCAAATTTGATAAAATTTGAGTGATTTTAGGACTATGTTTGACGTGCCATTTCAAATAAAAATGAGCTGAATTTTTTAAAATTCAGTTAATCATGATAAAAGTAGCCTTGTTTGGATAAATAGCTTCATTAAGCTTAAGCTGAAAATAATTAGCTGAATAGGAACGTTATTGTCCCTAGCTTTTCAATTCGATTGATGGTATAACTCCTTATAGAAGACAAAACTATCCCTGTGCGGCTATCTTCTCTTCTCGGAAAATTCTCGCAGTACTTCCGCCTCTTCTCATTGTTTTTTGTTGTAAGTTGTAGGGAAAACTGTCAAATAGGTACTCGAACTTTCATAAAAAAGTCAATTAAGTCTTTCTATAGGAGACTCTGTCCGGTCGTCGCGATTTGGGGCGGTTCCTGGTGGAATTTTTTGATGAAATTTTTTGAGCATCTTATTCATCAAGTCTAGTTTACTCATACCAAATTTCAGCTAAAAATTTAATCGAGAGCGCATTCAAATTAATTGGAGAACGCAAAAATGCGCAGTTATATTCAAGAATTAATTTGAATGTGTTCCCGATTGAATTTTTAGCTGAAATTTGGTATGAATAAACTAGACTTGGTGAATAAGATGCTCAAAAAATTTCATCAAAAAATTCCTCCGGGAACTGCCCCAAATCGCGACGGCCGGACAAAACCTCCTATAGAAGGACTTAATTGACCATTTTATGAAAGTTCGAGGACCTATTTGACAGTTTTCCCTAAGTTGTAAGGTATGGTATCTCCAAAAATTTCTTCTTGTTTATATAGAATAGTCGTCCTTCGCGTGTTGCGCGATAGGAAGATGCCCAATAATAATACTTTGTATGACTTTAAAGCGGTATCATGGATTCATGGTTTTATGTAATACTCCTCCCATCCCTTTTTATTTAGTAAAATTTGATAATTAAGGGGTATCATTAATTTATAAATATCTAATTGTTTTTTTTTGTATGGAAGAAATCTAATTGTTTTTTATAATTCTATTGTTCATGAATGTCACAACCTAAACTATCATACATACTGATAGTAAGAGGTACCAAAAAACACCAATCATTGCCTTGTTGATAATTTATGCATGTCTAAATGAGAAGACCACCTATCGATGTATAGATTTAAGTTCTCCATATGATAATTGTATGCATTAATTGTATCCCACCCCTTTTCTCAAATTCTGCAAAATTTGATAAGTTTAACTTCTTTGAAAAGTCAAACACCATCTTAGAATGTTATTAGGTTTGAAATTTTGAGGTTTGAAACTTGGACTGAAATTTTTAGGTTTGCTCTAAGTCTGATTATGTCTGAACTGGTCGGGTATGGCGGCCCGGTCTGATAGATATATAGTGTGTGTGTGTATTTTATACTACCTTCATCCCGACAAGATTGTCTCATCTTTCTTTTCCAAGTCATCCCACTAAGATCGTCTAATATCTAATTTGGTAGAATTTGTATGGATTTACTTTATAAATTCAATGTCAACCACATAAATTCATTTTTCCTAATAACTAC